ATTCTAGCTGCGAGCTTGCGGCGCGACCTTTCGGGGAGGCGAACATCTGACACCGAAAAGTTCGGGGAGCGAAACATCTGACAGCCGAAAAGTTCGGGGAGCGAAACATCTGACACCAAAAGTTCTGCGAGCGAACTGCGCGCAGGCTCGCAGAGCAGAAGGCCGGGAGGCGCGTTACAGAAATTGTTGCCGCGTGACCAGGATTGACGCACGTAGCCCATAGTGGAGTTCGTCGACAACAAAGACCGGGGGAATCAATGAGAAGAGTGAGCAACGAGTACACAATAGAGGTCGGCTGGGACAACGACGAGAGCGACCGACGCAGAGAAACGCAGGCCGCGATTCAAGTGGTGGTTCAGGGAGAGACTCGAGAAGGGTCGGGATTCGCGCAACCGCGGGCTCTCGAGCGCGGTCGGACAGTGAATGGCGATCGGATGGAAACCTAATTTGATTAGCTGCCCTGCCGACACTATACCCCGGGAGATTTCACAGCCGAAGTCAGCATGCGGGGAGGCGCGCGGATGAGTGCGCGGCCGACGGCGCAGGTGACTGTTTCGGCAAACTCCGAGGACGCCGAAATGGCAGGGCGCGACCTGGAGGCGCGCGAGAAAGAGGACCTGGACAGGGTAGGGGCCCGAGGCTCGGTACCCGACTCCAGCTGCTATCGGCGAGGCCGGGCGAAAGCAGGCACAAACGAGGAGGCTCGGCAGCGGGGGAATGGCAGCGCTAGCGCGAGCCACAGCGACGGCAGAGAAGGATGACGTCGGAGAACGTCGGGCCGAAGAATTCGCGCGCCCGAACTTCGCTCACGGAGGTTGCGGAGAAGAGAGAGAGTCGGCCGGAAGAAATCTCGGGCTGCCGAACTTCGCGCAGGCGGCAGGTTCGGAGGGAGAGAGAGATTCGGGCCGAAGGAATTCGGGCGCCGAATTTTTTCGGCCGAAAGTCGGAGAGCCGGGGCAGCGCCTAGGGGAGGCAGGCAAGAGGCGGAGGATGGCGGCAGAGTGGGACGGTCGCTACCTGATCCTGGCCGCGTCAGCATGGACGACACAAGGCGTCCGCCCTGGATCGAACGCCTATGCACACAGTACCCGAGGGAACGGCCAACGAGTTGAGGACGAGAGGATTGAAGAGTGCGGCCTTCACCGGGTTCGACCGACTCACGCTCCAAACCTTTCTGCAGAAAGTTCGAAATAGCGGCGAACTTCAACGGATGGGGTATGAGAGGCGCGGCGGCGCCAGTTGCTGCTGGCATTGGAGGACCAGCGCTAGAGCTACTGCTCCAGCTGCCGGACTACCTAGCATGAGGCGGAGTCTGCGGGCAGCGCGTCGCGGCGGCGCTTCGATCCTGTCGGCCGAGAAGCTCAACATCAGAAGGCGTTGGAGACCCAGACGGATGGAGGCCCACTGAGACCTGGAACGCTATAGCCAAGACCTGCAAGCGACTAACGAGGTTAGCCGTGCGCGGGGGTGGCCGAGGAGATGTGTAGTCGTATGGCGAGGGCAGCGGATTCGTGAGGAATCTGCGCGAGCACCCACGCATATCGCGCGCGTACGTGGCAGGACATTCGGGCGGCCGAACCTGTGTGAGTCAGCCGCGCTGTTGGCCGCTGAGTACGAGGCGTTGGCAAGAGGAGAGGGAGAGCCCCCGAAAACCGTACATCGCGCCGGTGATGGCCTGAGAGTGTGGAGCCTTGCCGGGAAGAGAAGAGGTCGGGCGAGAGAGAGGGACGAGAGAAGATCCCGCAGTCGTCGAGGCTGATGAGAGAGAATCGGCGCAGGTACCGTGGACGTCGATGAGTGAGGAGGAAGCTCCAGACTGCTCGCGCGAAGTGCTTTGGAGGCGCGTTAATTGAAGGAGAACGCCGTCGCTGGAGAGCCGCCGAAGTCGAAGAAGAAAGAGAGGAACGGTACGAGACGACGAGGAGAGCGATGGGGCAGCGGGCGGGCTATGGAACCCGACGATGCCGCTGATCGCATGGCTATGCTTTCGCTGTGGACGACGCGGGTCATATGGCTGAGGGAGTGTCATCAATCACAGCCGCGGGCCGAGTCGACAGCCTACTGCTGGCGAGTGGTCGCGCTGGATCGCCGGGATAGGAGAGAGACTTCCGCGACGGCGCGGGGCGAAGGAGGGCCGGCCGCCGCCAGCGCACGAGGTCGAAGTCGGCGAGGAGGCCGACGGAAAACAGCGAGGGCCGGTAGAGAGCGCGACACTTTCGCGCGGAGGCAGTAGAAGGCGACAGGAAGGAAGGAAGAAGAGGGAGTTGCAGCCTGCTCCAGGAGAGGAGCCAGATTGAAGGGCCGCGTAAGCTGTGGGTACCGACGGGTCACCGTACCGGGCTGGACACGCGAACGGCACCATATGAAGGCGACTTTCGGGGAATTCGCCCCGGCCCGGGTTGGGGGGGGAAGGAGGGCAGGTGGCAACTCGCCAGGCGCAGGACGATTAAGAGAGGACGACGAGGAGCGAGGTACGGACCCGCCATGCGGCCGAAGCCTGGTGAAATGCGACTCGCCGCGTCGTGGCCTTGACAGTGGTCAACACCGGCAAGAGGCCCTGGTGATACGCGAGAGGAGAGATCGTCGGTCGACTGAGGAGGTTACGCCGTGTGTTACCGCGCACTGGGAGACCCCCGCTATAGGGGGGCGGGAGTATAAATACCAGGAAAACCGAAAGAAGAGATGGAAGATACCCCGCCAAAGGGGCGGGAAATAAAATACGGCCAGGAAGACGCGAAAGAGGAGAATGGAAGAGCCGCCCGCTCATAAGGGGGGGCGGGATATAAATACCCAGGAAGTCACCGAAAGAAGATGTGGAAGAAACCCCGCCATAAGGGGGCGGGATATAAATACGCGCAGGAAGACCGAAAGCGAGATGGAAGAAAACCCGGCCATAAGGGGCGGGATATAAATACCCAGGAAGATCGAAGGAAGCGACGGAAGACGCGCCGGAATGGGGCGGGAGAGAAGTTCGCGAAGACAGAGAATGCCGAATGTCAATACAGCGAAGAGCAGCCAGCAAGATGAGGCACGCTGCCAAGTACATCTAGAAGAGTTGGCAGCCGGCTGCTAGTGAGGAGCTGGATGGGGAACAGAGAGGAAGATCGTGGCTACTCGCGTAGCTCACACCGGTCTGTTCGCGCGCACTGCGAAGGAACGCGCTGGCCGTACGCGATATAGTTCGGCACATGATGCGATACGGGCGATGGTACCGCCATCAAACAGCACCGAGGAGATGCCCCATTGGGGAGACACACATAAGGACGAAGATAATCGACCGGAATGCTTGAGGGGAGGGGTTCATTCGAACCCAGTAGTAGTGCCTATGGGACTGCTTCACTGTTGTGCCCTCAGCTGACGAAAGAAGGCATGGGACAACGCGGCTTTGGCGTCGACTAGCGTCGTCTCACGACGCGGCACGCATAGAGACGCCTAACCCGCTTTCTCGGATCGATGACACCTAGACGCCTATTTGTCGGAGCGAAGTGGTTTCTGCAACCCTGGATGCTTGCTCGGGTATTGGCTAGTGGGAGATGGAGCGCGGCCGGATACAGGAGAAGACTGCGTTTGGAAGTAGGCGAGGACGCGCCCGCGCCTTTTGAGCGATTGATGGAGCTCGTACTGAGAGGTCATCACCGTGGCAAGGATGGCCTGATCTACTTGGACGCCGTCATTGTCTTCGCGGAGGACGTTTGAAGAAACAGCCGAGCGCCTCAGCACGTGTTTTTGCCCACGCCTGCGAGGGGCAGGGCTCAACTGAAGCCGGGAGAAGTGTGAGTTGTTTCGCGGACTGAGCGCCTCATTCCTTGGACACCGAGGTATCCGCGGGCGAAGGAGTGGCGCTGCGATCCGGCGAAGTGCGGGCGCGTGGAGAGTGGATTCGGCGCGCACGGTGAGGAGGTCCGAGGGGTTCTTGGGTTGCGCGAACTATTACCGAAAGTTTATCTCGGAGTTTGCGGCCATTAAGCGAATCTCTCACCAACTTACGAAGACAGACGGTTCCGTTTTGATGGACAGAGGCTGTGAGAGCGGCGTCTCCAGAACGATTCAAGCGACGATTTTGACGGAAGCCACCAGTCCTCGGTATCCGCGGAAGAGATGGACAGTTCATCGTGTACGGATGCGAGGGCGGGATCGGAA